TATATATATGTATGTATATATATATATGTATGTATATATATATATATATATATATATATATATATACACATACATACACCTTACTACGTGTATTGCGTTAGGCTAACCGAGACTTGTCATTTGCACTTATATATTGTTGCTCTTTTGTTAGTTTTGACTGCTTTTATTGTCCTCATTTGTATAAAATTTTGGATAAAAGCGTCTGCTAAATGACTAAATGTAAATATTGTGAACAAAATGTTCTTGCTAACACAATTTAGCAATGTAACATAATTTGCTAAGTCTAAAGAGTACTAAATTATTATTTTTTTAAAACAGCACTGGTCCTAAAATGCATTATATAATAACAGTTGTGACTTAAAAAGAAATTTGCTCTCCTAGTTAAAGCTGTGATATATTCCGAATACAATGCTGCATTTCATTGCTAACACCACATGGTTTGCTATATTTAAAATATAGCTCTGTTTTCAGATGCTGATTGGTTAAAATACACAATATAGTAACTTCTTTGACATGAAACAACTGTTCGCCTGGTTATCACTGTGCATCAGTGCTAACAATGCAATATAGCATGGTTTTTCATTACATTATGAAACCGCTCTGTTTTCAGAAGAGAAATATTGTGCATAGTAACACTGACATGAAACACCTGTTCGCGTAGTTATAACTAACAATGCAATATAGCATGGTTTGCTAGTTTTGAAGAATGCTAAATTATAAAACAGCTCTGGTTCTTTAAGCTGATTTGCTAAAGTACACATTTTAGTAACATTTGATATGAAACATCTGTTTACCTAGTTGTTGCTGTGCTATATTGTTAATATAATGCTGTGAGTCATTGCTAACAACTCAGTTTAGCGATATAGCACAGCCTTACTCCTTCTTGCACAAATAAGCAACTAAATAGAGTCTTTTCACTCTAAATTAAACCAATAAACATGGGTTTCATCTCCAAACCTGGACAATGATGAGCTTTTTCTCCTTGGGCTTTCTGTCTGGCCAGTCCTCACCGAAGCAAAAGTAGATCTCAAAGGGTGGTGGAGTGGGCGCCTCTCCTTTCTGATACAAAATGAGACCTGAGAAGAAAAAAAAAAATGTTGACTAAATATATTACATATCAAATCTACACAATGATCCCATTTGGTGTCTCCTAAAAAATTCTTGCATGCGAAGTTCAGAAGTGTTTTTTATGTATACAGAAGAAAATTGAAGTGCTGGGTAATTTTGTATTTTCTCTTTTTCACTTCCCAGCAAAGACAGGAAGCTTCTTAATACTAGTGCAACGAAATGAAGAGCAAAGTGTGTTATGTATTTTAATGCTATCGTGCTGCCAGACAGAATAGATTCGAACATTTTGTCGCCTCAAATCGGTTCAATTTCTGTCAAGTTTTAAAGCTGTTCTTCATTAACAGTACATAAAAAGCATAAATGTGTAAATAAAATAATTCTTCCAAACTCTGAAACTTGAGGTTCAAAGAAAATCCAGTGGTTGCCAGTTCTGAATCCCAACCCAGTCTCATATGTGCTCAATTGTTTGTCAGTGCTGTAATGCAGTCACAATACATTTGGATATTGTGATCACTTAAATTCAAGACCAATTCCTCTTACCCTGGAGGAAGTTGTTCAGACTGAAGACCCTGATCTTCATTTCTCTTTCCATTGGATTGGGCGGACCCTGCTCGGGCACACCTGGCCCAGACCAGAACACTTTACACTGGCACAGCCTGATGGCGTAGATATCTTGTCCCCTGATCTCCAAAATCAGCCCTCGGTCCATCACATCCAGCAGATGATCAGTATAGAACCTCTGCTTCTCATTCTGGATCTCAGCGGTTCCTGGGAACAGCACCTGCTGCAGTGTTACCGGACCAAACAGCTCTACTTGCTCTGGTGAGGGCGCCAGATTACCGTAGTAAAGTCTACAACCCTGAGGGTTACTGACAGTCAAAGAATCAGCTGTCCGACCCCTGTACTGGAACTTGATATCTAGATCCGTTACTATAGAAGAGAAAACAAGAAGGAACATTTTATCGTCATTTACTCACAATTGTTTCTTGTTTTTCTTTTATGGAAAACCAAGAGATGTTCAGTAGAATGTTGATGCTGCTATTTTCCATACAATGAAAACGAATGGTGATAAAGTGATAGAAAATTACTAAAGGCATTATAAAAGTGGTCCATACTAGACTTCTGTAGCTATACAATAAGTTAGTGTGAGAAACAAATCTAAATTTATATTGATCATTGAAAATGTTCTTGACAACTCTCAAATTTCTCTCACCTTTTTGTATCTGGAATATCAAAAGATATTAGGCTAGGTTGGACAAATCATGGCAGATGTCAAATATGTCAAATGTCAACGGTTGTCATTTGGACAACTTTTGTGATAATTTTATGATGCTTTTTTGAAAATTTGGTCACCATTCACTTTTATTGTATGGAAAAGAGCAGCATTAACATACAGCCTAATGTTCTCTTTTTGTGGTCTATGGAAAATACATGAGAGTGAATGATGACGGACCATTCATTTTTGGATTAACTTTTTCTATAATAACAGATTACCAGTCTAACAACTGAAATTTTCATAATTTCATAATACAGCTAAGGTGTGCACTATACATAGTTTTTATTGGCTCTATACACACCTCTTGCAAAGTCAATTAACATCAGCATTACTCAAAATGAACCGGTGGGACAAGTTTTTTCTGCAAATTAGGCATGTCTTCATCATAAATTGCAACATTAATCCAAAAGAACAAGGCATTAGAGGCTTACAGGGCAACATGTGCGGACTGCTCAGCAACTCTGAGATGCAGGGATGAACCTGGTTCTCCGCTTGAACTGGCACCTCTTGCATTGGGCTGTCCACCATGGCTGGAGGGCCTACAGAATGAGTGACTACATCTTGAAGAAGAGGAGGCGGTATGACTCCAGTCCCCATTCCCAGACCGTTCAGAAGTCCCCCACAGGGATATGGTGCCTGCTCAACTTTGATTGCACTGTGACTGGGAAATTCAGTCAAAGAACTAGCCGAAGGTCCGGTGCTGGGCTGGGCAAGGTGAGAGGTCATAGAAGCACCTCCACTGGGGTTATTATGGACAACATCTCTTAAGAGGTTCATTGGAGGGTTATGGTGGGTGGGATTATAGCCATCGGCAATAGGAGAGGTGAACGGAACGTCTACTCTAGGAGGGTATGCTGGGTAGCTGGAAGGGTCTATCAAGCAACATGCAAAAAATAATTATTATTATTTTAAATAATATTTTTTTTCCAAACAACATCCACTTTGAAGAAATCTTACCAATGGAGAGTTTGACAAAGTTTTGCAGCTGAAATGAAAAAAAAATAATAATAATCAATTACTACTGTACATGAAGACATTGGCGAAAATCATGTTGATTTTACAATTTATTTCTTTCGACTTGTAGTTATTCAAGCTATTCTTCTAGGCTCTAGTCTATGCTCTTCAGAACTTACCTCCTCTTCCTCATAGTCTCCGGCATCTAAAATCAACAAAAGAAGGGATCATTTATTGGCTTGTCCATCTTTTATCCCTTAAAAGACTTCATGGCTTGACTTCTATGGTTTCATTCCTGTGTTGATATTTCCTACTTAAGCAAGAAGTTGTGGTAGGAAATATTGAATGGTCTGAGCTAACCCATTTAGAGCTTAAGAGCAAACAGCATTGTTTCAGCAAGTATCCCATGTAACTGGCCTGTAGGCATGCGTTCCTGGTCCTTACCTCCATTGACTGACTGGTCGCACACCTCATAGATCTTATAAGGCTGGACGGGGGTGTCCTTAGTCCCATCGTAGTGGAGTCCGAACTCTCGGCTTTTGTTTAGGGCACAGCGGAGGTTGGCCTTCCATTTTGCTGGATCTGGCTCATCTACTCCTTCCTGATACTTGCCTGTTTCGAGAGCCCAAGCCTGCAGAGCAAAAGGAGTAAGGGACTGGAGGAATGCTTGTGGGAAATATGTAGACACATGACTTGTCCCTTTCTTTTTTAAATAGACAATGAGCTTTAGTTATGTCACAGTCTATTTCAAGTATCATCAGGAGGGTGAGACATTCCTATTCTAGTATTTGATTGGACAAAAATAAGTCGTCAGGATAAGTCGTCAATATTTTTGATGCGTTTTTCTGAAAATGAAAAACTCAATTTTAAAGCATACATCTGCTAAATGTGAAGTCTGTTAATGTACACTTGCTTAAAAATGCCTCAAAGGAGTTCTAATTTTGAATCCGCAAGGTCTTTAACCTCATGTTTCTATACTTTTCTTGACTTCCTCTTAAAATCTTGCCACAGTTAAGTCAAGAGGAATTGAAACTCCATTTTTAGTTCTCCAAAGTTGGCTGCAAAAGTACTAAAAAGATGATCCTTAAACACATCACTAGATCTTGTAAATACAGACATGCAATGGCTCAGTTTTCTGCAAAAACAGTAGTTTGCTTTCCAATCATTTTCTGTTATTTGAATACATAAATACTGAAGAGTGAAACTACTAGGTATTTCAGTACCCCCAAAAATTCCCCCTAGTGCTAACTTTAGAACAGAATAAGTACAGAGTGAAAAATAGACAGGAGGCTTAGGTTGATGTCGAATTTAAGATATTATATAAGGAAATACCACTTCAATATCTACAAAACATTTGACAAAAACAGCATGGGTGATTCAAATACCATATTACTCACCTTAAATATAGTGTTCTCCTCCTCCAGGGTAGGCATATGGCGGGTGGCATGTCTCCATGGGATCCGGAACAGTCTGCGCTCTTGATTGAGCCAGTGCAGTCCGGGGTATTTCCCACTGTTAATCTGGCAGGGTGAGAAATGTTTACTTTAGTAATGTAGAACAAGCTTAAGACGTCCAGATTTCAAATGAAATTCCTCTACTAGTTTTGCTTCCATTTTAGATGCTGATATCTGGAAGTGCTGCATGGATGAAAGCAAGACGGCAACTGGACACTGATATTTTTCTGTTTGAAGATCGAAGTATTGATGAAGAGGTAAAGATCAATTCAAGGGTTTAAAACAGGGTTTGACACATCTCCAGTGTGCTTTTGTGCATTTCTTAGAATGTTCGGAAATAAATTTGACAAGGTTATACTACTGAAGTCAGATAAGATTAAAACTATTCTGTACTGTAGTCAGTTTTGTCATTGTTTACTCATCTTTATATAAACTCACTTTCTTCTGTTACATTGAAAGTATACAGTGACCAGAGGCTATTCAAGCTCCATTAATGAGAAAAAAAAAAAAAAAAAGCCAATTTAAAAAAATAAGGTCAATTTTCTATTGTCAAAAGTGTAGCGACATATAAATCACAACTCACACAGCAGTCACTTTCAAACCAAGCAGCTTTCTGTTGGTCAACACAGCAAATTCAAGTGACCAACTTGAACCCGTCGCAAAATCTATGTTGGAAAATCTTTAGTCCTCATGCAACATTCCCAATTGGGTGGTTTCCTGTTGAAATCACTGGATTTCACCCACAAAAATTCAGCAATGGTAGATGTACAACTTTAAAGTAATTTAAAAATATCATAAAAGTAGTCTATCCAACCTTTGTGCTATATTCCAAGTATTCTGATGGTCATCTGAGGTAAAGACTGAAATTCAAGTCGTTATTCGCGGAAGAACTTCCTATCTGATGAAGCACTCAGTATCATTTGCATATGCATGCACATATTTAAAAAATGCTGTGTCATGGTTTGGTTCGTCATCCTGATGTGAGAATCAATGCATGTGGCATAATCAAGGTCATAAAACTGCTTTTATGGTGCTTTTTGATCATTTATACAGCTTGACAGCACATGGTCATCATTCACTTTCACTTGGAACGTCATAAGGGCGAGTAAAATTTCAATCGTGGGTGAATGATCTCTTTAAATGTCCATTGTTTTTAGTATTTTCTTTAGAAAAGTTCTTTGAAATTACAATGTGCATAGTCAATCACAATTCACCTGTGCCAGCAGCCATGGCTTCAGACGGATCCTCCGTGGTTGACCACTCATGGTGCTGGAAAACGAGGGGGTCGGAGGAAGTAGTAATGGTGAACACTGTTCTTTTGGTCAGCTGTTATCATAATGGGGCAAAAAAGAGGAATAGTTACATTGTTGACAGACAATGTTAGTCTGGAGGTTGGCAACTATCAGAGAGGAACATAATTATAAGCTGAATCGGCAAAGTCTAGCCAAAAAACATTAAAAGTATCACTCCACACAATTTTAGGGCAGACTGAATAAATCTAAAACACAAAAGTAGCACAATGACAAATGTGACGAGATGTGAGCCTTCAGGCCTCTGCCAAGTCCTTAAATCGCTGCTATCAAAGCAGGTGCTCAAGGAAAAATAGAAAGCATGTGGGTATTCGGTTTAAAAAGCTTAGTAGCACTGAGGTCATGTTACCGCTGTAAATAAATGACAACATGACTGAGCACAATGACGGCCAAGCGCGAATGCCACCATTAGCGCTGTCTGCACTAAAAATACATTTTAAGTTGTTTTCATGATGGCTGTGACTTATACAGAAACGAAAAAGAGGCTGTGAAACTTTCAAGGTCACTTCTTCTGATTAAACATTAGTCAAGAGACTTTGTGTACATTTTTCAATGAGCTTTAAACAGGGGTCCCCAAACTCGGTCCTGGAGGGCTGGTGTCCTGCAGTGTTTAGCTCCAACTTGCCTCAACACACCTGCCTGGAAGTTTCAAGTATACCTAGTAAGACCTTGATTAGCTGGTTCAGGTGTGTTTGATTAGGGTTGGAGCTAAGCTCTGCAAGACACTGGCCCTCCAGGACCGAGTTTGGTGACCCTTGGTTTTAAATGCCGTCTTGATATTGCACTCCCATAAAGGAAGTTCTAAATACTACTAAATTCATTATGAATCAACAAGAGGAACAATATTAACCAAATGCTAAAGTGTTTTTGATTTGGTTTACGATGGAGAAGTAGGTGGGGTACCTAAATAACGATTATGTTTGGTGTTCTCTTATTTAGTTCCTTTAACTAAGTTATCTTTAGGTAACAAACTCAGTTCATCACTTTCCAAACATATGCATATGATATTGTTAATAGTGAAGGGTTGGCATTGTGCATGTGTGAACGTCCCCAGAAAAGCTATTTTTATTTTTGTTTCACCCATTAAAAATTTTACGTAGAGTCATATAAATTATGTTTTGAGAAACTTCTGGAAAAACAGGACTTTTTAATTTATTTATCATTTTTATTTTATTTATCTATTTCATCTATTTTATTTATTTGATGCATTATTGGTATCTACCTTTTTTTAGGATTTACTGAACATTTAAGTTAAATTAAGGTTTAAAAGTTAAAAACAAATAAGATAATTCTATTATATAATGTCGACAGTTAGTTATTTGTTAGAATTCTGACATTAAGCACCCAATTCTTCTTCAGATATTTAAATATAAAATAATAATTTTCACTTATTAAATTCTTTATAATTATTTA